ACGATAATACAATGAACAATATTGAAATCAAACAGAATATTCGTTGTTTATAAAACTTTCGAATTCATAAACTAGCATAGCACATCTTACACTTAGCTAAAGTTATTAAATACTAGTTACTATTAGTTACTCTCCTTACCTAAGAACGTTGCTTCGCTTTCAATTAGAATAGTGAATACAGCATTCACTTGCGATCGGCGAGTTACAACGAATATCAAATTCGCAGTGTAACATCGTTGCTGTACTTGTAAATCTCCCGCGGAATTTATTTTCATAATTACTTTTCTATACTAAATTTTATTATTATGGAATGAATATCACGTAGTATCCTCACTTACCAAAGGAATCTTTCGCTTAGCATTTAAATGAAACATTATTTAATACGCGTTCAGTTAATTTCTTCACAAATATTTTTGCACCTTTGTCATTTCGGTATCTTTTCTATCTATGAATATAAGATGAAATATTTTTTGCGTTCCTTTTTGATAACAATTCATGTTGCTACTCTTGCAGGATAAACTATTGACACCAAAATTCTAAAGTTTTGATGCTGTTGTTTATTAACCCAAAGAATTAGTTGCTACTTCTGGTTATGCAAAAATGTATTGCTTGTTCAATTTCGTACAAAGTGCGTTTCCGTTGTCACATGATGATTAATGTGATCATGCTGAGTAATAACAGGATTTTGTACACCGGTGAAATTTCTTCTCTTTTATTTGGACAACTTTCTTTCTCATATTGTCCTTGTTTCATTAATAAGATTTCCTTACCTATTTAAAAAAATGAAATAAATCGGTCGATGCACACTGAAAAACCATATGGCTGCGGCCTGGTTCAGATCATCTGTGATATTAGAAGCAAGAATATTGTCGAACTATGCCAAATTAAGCGGAAAAGTGTTTTTTATGCTCAATCTGAGGCGCTCAAAATTACAAATTTCGTGAATTTATTAGGTGCATTGATGGTTGCCTGAAAGCTGCCTTTTTTAATCTCAGTTTATCTTATATTTGAAATATTTTACTGTACGATGTTAAATCGGGTTTAGTTGCTTGCTTAAATTGTTTCTATATGTGGCTGTCGTAAGATCTTATGTAGTCGAAGGATAGACAGTAAGGCGATTTTAATTCTACCATTAGGCAAGTGCGGATTCGTTAATAGTCAACTTCTCGCTGTTGCAGCTGTAAATTCAGCGGAATTAGAGATACTCTCATGAAAATCATTTTTTAGAGTATTTGTCCAATCATTCATTTAAATTGCTCTAGTTATGAATCATCCATGGCACATATTTCCTATTTTTAACGATGGTGTGAATGAGTGACGATCATAAATTAAAACGTGTTTGTTCTTATCTTGTGATCGTTAGCGATCTTCACTGCTTAAGATTTATGATATTGGATCCCCTAAGTATTTCACATTTGGATATTTCAAGGAATGTTGCATCGACAAGAATCATTTGCAATTTGTAGCAAATTTCCCTTTGGTCTCCTATGCTATGTACTTTGCTGCTTCAGATATCTCGTTCCATCGTGATGTTTGGATATCAACATCGACATCTGAGACGCAAGTGAGACTAAGATGGAAATTATTGAAACGAGCCAATCATTATTTTCTGAGTACTTCAATGCATTGGAAGTCAGCTAAAGTAACAAGCTAGTCTTTTCTAGTGCAAGTACAATAACTAATCCCCAGTGTTTCAGCAGTAACACTTTAGGAAGCCACATAATCAGTCTGAGTTAGCGTGGTTTTTTGAGAGGATCCTTTCGACGCATTGAAGTTTATTTCAGAAATTGAAATGTTTTTAAAACGATAGCGCAACGTATACTTGTTTGCCAAAACGACGATGATGCATATTTCAGTTTTACGGTTATTTCTTTAATATGCGCATATTTTCCTTTTCCCTTCTGTGAAGAGCAATATTCGTTGATTGTCATTTTAAGGTCATTGGCATTCAATTTTGCTTCAGTAGTCCGAAACATAAGATATACCGGAGAAAATTCTACAATACTTCAATCTGCATCAGTGCCTTGGAGTTTACATCAGACATTGTTAGTTGGTCACGAAGATACTGCTGGTAGCCAAAGTGTAACCCGTTTTCACGCTTTTCAAGGACAGTAAAGAAAAGCTTGAAGACTAGCTGTTAATCATGTTCAAAGACCATAATCAACGAATGCCACTGGTTCATAAACTAAAGAGGCAATCTACATTCGACTCTAAGAACACTGAGAAATGGAGGAGCTGGTTGCAAAATTTTATCTCGAAGTTTAAGCAGGGAACAGCGGCAGAGATGTACTGCGGCTGTCTAATATGTACATACGAATTTCCGTTTACAACTGATTAATTACAACACAGATTATTAATACATTGTACATAAAGATATAAAAAAACAATTCGTAAAGGCAACAGATGCGAAATGAGTAAAAACGAAAGAATATCAAGACTTTGGACTACCGCCAAACAGAGAAAACCTTGATCTACTGGCGTTTTCAGAAAGTGAGGCGTTAGTCTCTTCCAACTGGATCCTTTTACAGATGCTTTTATATGTTTCTGAATTCAGCTTCTCCTCGTCGATAGCATGCAGTTCGAAGTCTGAGTAAAGTTTCTGAAAATGCAGACAAGTTATGAAAGTGACCGTAAAAAAACACACGGAACCAGGTGTTATGACCTAAAACGGTATTCAGGTAAACGTTTTTATGCAAAGTCCGCTGATGCATTTCAGGAGCTGAAATCCGGAAGTCAAATCACAAGTTTGGAAATACGAATATTTATCTAATAACCCTCCTACTATGTTGTCACAGCTGAAAATTGGAAATTTTTTAAAACTGTTCAGATACCGAAAATGAATCATAGACTACCAAACCTTTGCGAATGCTGGCTTGTTGCCACTTCTTCCATCTTTCCTCCTCCTTCCTCCTCTTTCTTCCATCCATCCTTCCCCTTCCTTCCGAATTACTGAACAAACAATAAAACATCAAAGCGACAGATGGTCAATGTTGGACAAATAATTCAAAAACCAAACTATAGCAAGCTGAGCTAGCAGTTGCAAACGTCTCAAGATTGAGATCACGCCAATGCGGAAACATTGGATTCACAGAAATAAAACACTGTTATTCAATAGGACGTTTTCTCCTCTGCCAGATGAGACTTCGGCCCGTGGTGCGGAGGAGAAACATATACAGAAGAGGTGACTGTGGTCGAGCTCAAAGAGCTGCAAGGAAGGGATAAAGGGTTAATGGACATTCTGTC